TATATGGAGCCAAACAAAAGCAATTTGAACTTACTGGCGGGGTTCCAATTTTTTCAAAATTTCACAAATTTCAGTGTAAGTTTGTCTAACAGTTAAGCGAGTCGATCTGTCATATATCGTACCATAAGAGTTACCTTTCTCATGTTTTGCAGATAACGATAATATTTTTTACCGTTTCAGAGTCTCTGAATTCCTACTTTCTTACAATTTGTGTTCAAGTGTGTTTTTTAAAAGTTTGGTTTTGTTATGGTAATCTTGTTTAGAATATTTGTTCACTATTTTTCAACTTAATTCCTACTTTATGCTAAGGATGATTATAGATTTATGAGATAAATATTACTACCAAATGATTAAAATAGTCAACATAATACCAACAAGGGTTGACTCAAGTGGTAAGCAGCTTGATGTCGCTTAAGCAAGGTCTCGGGTTCGAGTCATTGTGGATGCAGAAAATCCTTATTGGGAGACTCATCCACCACTGTCAGGTGTGCGACCCGGGTCAACCAACGGATTAGTCGGGGCATAGCTCCGGATACCGTGACTGGCTACCAAAAAAAAAATAGTCAACATAATATTTAATAGAAATGACAGTGGTGTTCTATCAATTTACCAACCCTATTTACTGTGTGTGTAGGTGACAAAAAGGATAAGATAATGGTAACAATTATTGGGCAAAATACTTAAGAAATAGTATACTATAGTAGGGAGAGATGCTTCCTAGAAAGAAACAATAAGAGTGAAAATGATAACATTTGCTGAGGGAATCCAATGAAAAATACTATCTAACTTTGAAAAAAATGCATAAATAAATTCAAATAAAAAATATTCATTTAATTAATTATCTGAACAACCATATATATGGTTACAGCTTTATATAAAATCTTAAAATTCCTCTGCTTTTGCCTTTATGTTCAGTGTTAACTAACTATCTCTGTTTCATCATGATCCCAAGAAGAAGCTAGTTTAAATCTGCAAATTAAACCCTATTAATCCTGGCTTTTAAATTTTCCTTAAGCACATCTTTAATTAATTAAACAATTTTATAAAAAAAAAAATGAAAAAGAAAACTAAAAAGAAGTTAATTACTTTTGCTCATGCCTGATCATGTTATATAAATATTGTGCCTTTTTTCATCACTAAGAAAAAGGGGGAGTTGGTTACTATTAATACTAATTTTCTATTTTTTTGTTTTACTCAATAATTTATCAAAAGTTTGTTAATTCAATCTTATCAAATCTGTTAATTAAAGTGTTGACTATAATGCACCTTGTCATGATGTAAGCTTCATAGTGGATTTTTTGGGGAAGAGATGGAGAGGAAAAATTCCATACGGAATTGAATGATATATGATATTCTAAGTACTAGTTGGAAGATGCTACGATCTCGTTACGGAATTATTCCGTCAGAGTTTGTAACCGTTAAATCAATTATCTCTGATGGTTACATTAAACCTCGATGAAATAGTTTCGTAACAAGATCTTAGCATTCCCGTTAATTATTGGTCCTGCAAAGAATTAGTATATTAGTAACGCGAAGTGGAAACCATTTTTTTTTTCTTCTACAACATATCATACATACAAATACTATAAAAAGTGTGATAATTGTGATGTATGGTTTGAACAGTCTTAAAATTGTACAAGTATTTTTATAAAATAAATTTTTTTATTGCAGTGGTATTACATATTTTTATTTACTTTTTGCTAGGAGTAAGAAAAGTTCTTTTGTTAATAAGTATATAAGAATCTATTTATTTTATTTTATGATGGTTAAATCAAATAACATTATTCTTATTTTCCATCACCAATTGAATATAAATTAGGGAGATGTTACGGTCCCGCTACGGAACCATTCCATCAGAATTTGTAACTGTTAAATAAACTACTTTCGACGGTTACATGATGATCTAACGATTATAAACCCGACGGAATAGTTTCGTAACAGGACCGTAGCATTTTCCTATAAAATATAAGTCATTTTCATCTTAGTAGAGATTTTTTTTTTTAATTAAATACTCTCTCTCTCTCTCT